AATCTAACTCTTTACACTGGCGAAAGAGATGGATATTTCGATATTATTCATTGTCCTGCGCTATTGTTTTGATAGCCTCAAGCTAGCTGTTGTTTCAAAACCATTTACAATACATGACTTAATTTATTTTAGTGATTTGTATTATTCATTAATTTGTACTTCCATAGCTCATAGGAGCTCAAGTCATGGACCAAAGCTCCATCCACAGTGTGCATTTGAACACAGGATTTTGAATGGAAAATCAATCATGTTTATGTTAGTAGCAATCGATCATATGGAGGTTATATAATTTAACTAACCTTTTTACAGTTATGCTGTGAGTTTAAGTTTTGAAGAACAGCCATGTTTTCTCTTTCCGTATTTACAGTATTGTTGCTATTATCTGGTGTAGCTACTGTACTAGTAATAGAACTTCAACATGAAAGGGTGAAATATGCATCCCTTTTAATATAACTGTACAAAAAGACAGCTTAAAATCTTGGGTAACATTGCTCTGATTACCACAGTTGAAGCTGGATCTATTTGACTTTGAAAAGTGAATGATAAACCCATACATCCTTTATCAGATCAATTGTTTATTTGACACATGCTGACATCTTTCAGCCAAAGAGGAATATTAGAAATAAGCCAAGCATTTCTATCAGTTTTCTGCCTAGACAGTAGAGTTAGTTTAGATGCTGTTAAAAATATACTGTTCTGTATGGTTAATACATGTAGTGTGAATATTTAGAAAGCATTTTCTGTGTTTTACACTTAATTTTATTTAAATATTAGGATAATATTTTGAAGTAAATGGCTTTGGAGTTTGTTCTGCAGAAAAATAGGTTTGTATAATTACAAAGAAAATAGAAGATTTTGCTTGTGTGTGGAGGAAAGTGTACGGTAGGTTTAGTTGTGTATCACATGTATTAAGTTTATTGAGCAAAATCTTGTTAAATAGCCATAGAAACAAGATGATTGCACAAAACTAGAGAGAATCATAAACAGAAAAATCCAAGATTTGTAAAACTAGTTGTCATGTTAAAATCATATCAAATATGATATTTATATGTGTAGTAACATTGTTCATTGTTATAAAAAAACAGCAGAAAACAGTTCCTTAGTATAAAAGTAAAAAAAAAAAAAGGGGGGGGGGCTATAAACAGGAGTGCATTTTTTTCCAAAAAGGTTGGTGAAAGGACAAATAATGTATGTTTCAGCACGTCTCATCCAAAACTATGATTGCACAGCATCTGGGTTTCTCCAAGATATGAAAATGCAATCAGGCAGATTAATTCAAATTAGTTGTCATTTTCATTTAGAGGCTGCAGTTCAAATACTTCCTTCTACCACCCAGCATGTCTAAAAACTATTCTTATTAAATCTTCTGGCAAATCACTATTCTGCTGTGGGTTGTTCTTCTAAGGATACATTTCTTTTTCTATCTCTAAGTACAGTTCACAGTCTTTGTCCAAATGGGGGTTTTGATTGACTGAACTAATTGTCCAATTTACTTATTTTATCTGTAAAGGAAGACTTTTGGTTACCTGGTTTCCTGTATAAAGCACATGATGTATATTTTTTCTTAAGTTCCATGGTTTTATTGAATAGCCTGTTATAGAGAAAATGTGTATTCTCTGTTGCTAAAATCTTTCTGAATTGCAAAGAAAGAGGAAGAATCATTAATTCTTTTGATCAAGAAGAAAACCAGAACTAGTGTTTCCTTTACAAGTCAACTAATAGTTAAATACATAATCTCAGAAAATATTAGAAGAAATTATGGGAAATCTCAATGGCACTGATCTTTTTTGCATCCACAAGATCCTTGTTTATACCCAAACAATCTATTTATGTTTGGGCCAATGAGGTCCAAGATACCTGAGGAGGAAAGTCTATCAAGGGAGGGTGCAACTATATGCAATAATATACCCATGTGCATGTATATCACTGCCCTCTGCTGGATGGAATCAGATGTGCTCAGGATTATGTTTAAAAGTGTGAGGGGTAGCCATGTTAGTCTGTAACTGGAAAAAAAACTTTAAAACCAACAAATGGTCTTGCAGCACCTTAGAGATCACACTATCTACATGTTTTGTTAGTCTCAAAGATGCTACAGGACCATTTGTTGTTTTTTAATTCTTTTCAGGACTGTGAAATTTTCTACTGCCAGTCTGGTCACAAGTTGAAAAATAAGACCGATTGATATCTTAATATTACTAACAGAAAGATTGTGGTTTTGGAAGTAACAGTGCTGAATTCTGTTCACTGTGCCACATAAAAGCAATGTGACTGGCATGTGAGGTAGCTGTGTGTATGCAGCCATGGGTTGTAGGAGGTGAATTATTCAATCCTGGCTTTTACAGTTGAGTGAGGAGTGGCAATAAAGCTTGCTTGGAAAGGAGTGTTGCAATAATTTTGGCTGAGATATGGGACTTTGATGGTCAGGGATGTTATATTAACATCGAGTAAACTGATTTGGAACAAATAGAAGTACTGACCTTTTTTAAATATCACAATAGACTCATCTGGAACCTTTTTGTAAAGACTTTTTTTTGAATTGGTAGACATATTTTCTTTGTATCACCCAATAATTTTGCCTGATATTCTGCAAATTCAACTGGACGGTCTTTCAGGGATTTTTTTTTTCTCCCTGGGGCTGTCTGCTACACTCTGGTGGAATTATAGGCATGCAATGCATTCTGGGGCACACAATCTCAGGAGGCTTCAGAGCACACGAGATGGCAGTTGGCTTAGCAGGGAAATCCAGATCTGCTGAGTCCCTACCATGAACTTGGCAGGGCATCAGATTAGAACCATGGACCTATTGAATCTGGCTGATCTGGAGAGTGAAGAGGGTATAAGGAGTCAGAAAAAGCAATGTGTGACTTTCTCTCTACCAAGGAAGGAAATAAGCATATTTTCCTCAGAACTTTTCACATTCTGCTGTCACCAGTGATGGTTGTGCTTGTACAACAGTAAACAAAACAAAGCTATGCTGGTTTCTAATGTATTAGAAAATATGTCAAAACAAAATGGAGACTGACAACAGCAGAAGGGAAAAGGAAATGCTATTTCCAAGCTCTTTTGATGCTAATATCAAACTGATGAATAAAGCCAAATAAAAGCTATACAAGAACATCAGTTAACATAACCACATGTCTCTTAGCATTCAATAAAACTATCTGCTCCTTCCCAATTTGTTTAACTTTCTGTTACCAACATAGTACATTGCTGTTCCTGGAGGATGTGCATAAAAAATTCCACACTTTTTAAATGATGTTGTAGAGTCTTGATTCTCTGACTGGCTAGGGTTATAGTCACATATTGTACACAGAATATTTGGTTGTAAGGTGGGTTTCTTGCTGAAGTAGTATGCATATATTTATATGCTGTGAACTAGACTGCTCCTCAGAATGTGTCTGTCTTAAACAACATTAGTGACGTCTCTTACAAACATTGTTAAACTGCTCCCATAACTTGGTGACAAGTGGAGCAAAGGGAGGCAGATACTTGCAAACTTTGCTGCTGTGCTGGGGAAAACATGTATTAAGATCACCATTCCAACAGTACTTTGCTGTTCTAATAGCACCTTTCATCTGTTGTGATTATGGTGCTGTGACTACATTAATGACTGAAACCTCAAAACATCTCAGAGGCAGGTGGGCATCCTCTGATATTGCTAAGTACTGTTATCTTCATTTGACCCTTCAGGAAGCCAAGCCACAAGGAGGGTACGATCACAAAGGCAGGCTGTAGAAGAGTGAGGTATAGAACACAAAATCCTGATATCCAGGGCTGTGCTTTAAACACAAGACTGACTTTCTCTTCATGCTTATGCCAGCCAACCACGGAGGACATGAAGGGATCTTGTGTATGAGGCTCCTTGTCACATTTTAACCATTTTAGAAAAGAGATTGAACTTGAACATCAAGGCCAAATTGAGTAGTGATTTGCATTCAGTACAGTCCCATTGGAGTCCACAGGATCATCTGCACTATCAGTCAATTTTGAATTTGGCCCATTACTGTATTTCTATATTGTTCTAAATACATATGTTTGATTATTCATAGACAAAGTAAAGGTAACACAGCATGCCTTCAGGTGTGAGGAATTATATCACTGGAGTGAGTGGGAGTCTATTTCTTTGTAGTAAATAGTAGTAATAATTGTGACTTAGAGGGCATCGTCATAAATAGAAAGG